CCTGCCCCCCTGAGGCAGGTCCTGTGGGGTCCACCCATGGGCCAGCACTGGCCACAGCATTGCAGGCTTCCCTCTGGACCTGGATACTCTATGACCACAGCATTTTAATAATTTGAGCCTTTGCAAGCATTCCAGTTATAACCTTGTAAGTTGCTCAGTGCCTCAGAGAAAACCTTCAGATTCTTCTGGCCACCTTCCCAGAGCCTAAAACACAACACCAAGCATATCTTGTTAGAAATAAGCATGGAAAATGCCATGCAGATGGAAGGCTGCCTTGGCTTTTATCTTCATGGCTCTGAGAGTTGTAAAACCTATGCTTCCCTGTCCTTTCAGCACTGTGACTCTTTGTGTATAGGATTTATCATGCTCCACAGGCAATGCATGTGACTCAAATCAATCCACAGCTCAAAAAAGGCAGCCACATCTCACCTAGCAGGAAACATGGGGTCATGATCAGCTTCATCTGCCCTGTCAAAACGTGACAAGGAAGCTGGCCCTGCAGAGGTGAGAGTAAAAATAAACTATGAAGCAGGCTAAACACAGAAGAACTCAGTTCTGAATCTCTTTGTTTTCTTTCCAATGGAATATACTGATGTGAAAAATTGCCACAACTCACCCAAACATTGATTGGTGCCAGGAGAGAAAACTAATGGGAAGCATACAGCAATTGAAATAGGTCTAGTCTTCAGAGTCACAGACCAAGTTCACTTTCCTTAGTCTCTATCATGGGATAAAATGAGCTCCCTTAAAATTCATATTGTTGAAGTCCTAAACCCCAGGACCTCTGAATGTGACTGTATTTGGAGATGGGACCTTCAAAGAGGCAATTAGGGTAAAATAAGGTCAGATGGGTGGTGTCCTAAGTCACTTGAGTCGTGTCCAACCCTTTGCGACCCCACGGACTGTAACCTGTCAGGCTCACTCTGTCCATGGAATTCTCCATGCACAGACACTGGAATGGGTTGCCATTTCCTTCTCCAGGGTATCTTCTTGACTTAGGGATCGAACCTGAGTCTCCTGCATTGGCAGGAGGATTGTTTACCCACGAAGCCACCTGTAAGCCCAAATGGGTGGGCCCTAAGCCAATATGACAGGTGTTACAAGGAGAAAAGATTAGAACAGAGACACACACTTAGAGTGCAGACAAGAGGCAGCACCGTTCAGCCTAAGGGAGAGTTCTCGGCAAAAACCAGCCTTGCTGACTGTCAGCCACCAGAGCTGTGACACGTGGTCTAAGCCGGCCAGTCTGGGACACTCCATTACAGAAGCCCAGTGGACCAGCACACCTCTCTCTGGGTCTTCTCGCTACCAGTTCTAAACACTGGCTCCTTCTTTCAGACTTCATTTCACTCTCTTTCTAACTCTTACTTTCTTTTGTTCCACTGAGCCTGGCTCCATCTCCTCCTTCTTTCTGCTTCTTTCTTGTCTTTTAAAAAAAGTTTCCCTCCCCTTCTTCCCAGACAGAGGTGGAGCCTAGGGGTGGTGACAGGGAGACAAAGGATTTTGCACGCAGCCTAATTGGGTCTGTCCAGAGGCTCAGGCTTGGTCCCGAAAGCTCAAAGGTGTGTCTGCTTTGCAAGGGCATCACACAGAATCACTTGACCTCATCAGAAGATGTGACTCTCCCTTTCTGGGTGACTCTGACCAAGTCACTCAACTTCTCTGAGTTTCTGTTTTCTCATCTATTAAAAAATGGTGATGCAAATTCCTGTGAAGGGGTTTAGGACAACTCTCCCCAAACGTGCCACTTTGGCACATGGATTGTTTTGCACTGAAGACAGTAAGGCCCCAAAAGACTTAGGAGGGGCTTTTGACCTCCCCCTTACCTGGCGCTAGTGGTAAAGAATCCACAGATCCTCTTGCAGATGATGACAAACAATGTCACAGGGAGTCCTGTGGATGGACGTTGGTGATGGTCACACAACAGTGTGAATGCATATGGTGGTTCAGTGGTAAACAACCTGCCTGCCTACACAGAAGACCTAAGAGACCTGATTCAATCCTTGAGCCGATAAAGATACTCTGGAGAAGGAAATGGCTACCCACTCCAGTATTATTGCGTGGAGAACCCCATAGACAGAGGAGCCTGGCACGCTACAGTCCATAGGGTCTCAAAAAGTCAGACGTGACTGAAGCAACTTAGCATGCATGCAGCTTCCTACAGGAATTTAGACTGAGGCCTGACTCAGAGAGAGGGTTATTTCAGAGAGAACTTTTATCTGAATGACTGATCTGTACGGCAGAGCAACTACCAAACTTGCCAAACATCTGTTTTCTCATTGTCCTGGGAATGACCCCTTGCCCATGGAAACCTCAGGCCCCCATCCCTTTCCTCAGCTCAGGATGTTACAGAAGCCTCAGCTCCCAGACTTGTCCTTGGGTCTCACATCTTTGGGGCTCCTCTACATATATAACTAAATTTGTTTTCTCCTATTAATCCTTCTTATGTCAATTTAATTATTAGATTAGACAAAGAACCCAGAATGATGGAAGAAAAAGTTTTTCTACCCGACACTTGCATGGTTGTTATAAGGTTCAATTAAGATAATACACTGGAAAATAATTTATATACTAGTCACCATAACTCTTGTTAATTCTTTTCTTACCTTTTGCCATCATCTATAGTTAATTAATTTGGATAAAAATTTCTATCTGCAAAGTAGGTACTGCCTAGAATTTTAGAGTGTGGTAGCATGAAAAAAAGCTTAGAATTTCTATGACTCTGAATATACATATTTTAAAGGATTATTTCTACTCTATATCTCATTGACCTGATGAATTTATTTTTGTTTCTCCTGCCAGTTAATAATTATGAAGAGTGTTGCACTTGGTACTAAGAGGAGGATTCTAAAGCCACAAAAGATCTGGTTTCTGCAATCTGTTCAGGAAAATAATATTTTAACTGTAAAAACTTAAAAAATTATTTTACAGTGGTTTTCAGGGCTGTCATGGGGTGTAGGTAGCCAAATCTAACTGCAGGTCAAGCCAGGTACAAACCTGAACTTTCTAGGACAACTTTTCATAAGACAATTTCCAATTATCACCCATCTAAAGACAATGCCAGGAAAGACTAACAAATCTGATTGAAAAGATTTAAAATTAGGAAAGATAATAAAAACATGAATGATACCTAAGTATGTATTTTGCTTTAAAGAAGTCTAATTCCGTAACAGTTTGTACTATAGAACCCTTTAATACACAAGTACCTCCAATATGCTTAAAACATGATTTTAATAACCAGATCTTAATTTTCTTACTAACCCCTTAGGAACCCCTAAGAAAAAAAGATTATTGATGATAGCAACAGTTCAGTAGGAAAACCATACCTTCTTCAAAAATGAAATTGAAATCTGATTTTTGAAATACCTTGCTTTAGAAACAGTTCAACCAAAAAGAAAATTACATAGGTTTCTTTTTTTTTTTTTTTGGTGGAAATTCACAAACTTCAAAGATAATTTGGTTTGTAGGGACATTGGGTCAAATGGTTTAATGCTTCAGAAGCAGGATGTCATAGCAACCATGTTTGAATTTAGATCCTGACTTAACCACTTACTGACTGTAAGTCCTAGGGAAAATCACTGTACTTTTCTGAGCATCACCTTCCTCATATTCTCATTGGGTACCTTTGCCTCGAGAGGGCAAGCATTGTCAGGGCACCACCTCCTGTCAGTAACAGAGGCCATTTTGAGTGGATTCCTAAGTGAGAAAGTATCATAGTGGATTCTGATCACTTACCAGCCTTCGCCACGCCCGAAATGGTGAGTTTTTCTAATTCAACTTTGTCCCTCTCATCACTCACTCCTTTTCTCTCAAGTCCAGCAAGGTACACAGCATGGATTAGAACCCCAACCCATGTCTGATGAATGAATACACGAATAACTAAATAACACATAGATAAGTTTTAAATGGAGGCAGAGGAAGAAAGAGCCTAGTGTGTAGAATACATCTTAATTACTGGTAGCAGATCCATGTCTTTGGCAAACAATTTAATCTGGAGAAACATGAAAAATGCCAAAAAACAAACAAACAAAAAAACCTCTTAGCTATAGGAGGATAAAAGGAAAAGAGAGTAGGTGCAAGTCCTACTGTAGCTGTCAGTCACTGCTTGGAAAAGGTTATTCAAATTCTTTGCCAATCTTTTTCTGTAGTGCATAGCTAAAACAATCTTTTAAATAACGAGCCAAAATTATTCAACACATTTACATGTAAGAAAAAACCCAATGAGGGGCTTTCCTTCTGGTCCAGTGGTGAAGAATCCATCCTGCAATTCAAGGGACATGGGCTTAATTCCTGGTCCAGGAAGATCCCACATACCTTGGAGCAACTAAGTCAGTGGGTCACAACTACTAAGCCCGTGCTCTAGAGCCCAGGAGCCGCAACTACTAAAGTACGGGTGCCTAGAGCCTCTGCTGTGCAAGAGAAGCCACGGCAATGAGAAGCCCGTGCACCACTACTAGAGTAACCCCACTCGCAGCAACTAGAGAAACCTCGTGTGCAGCAAAAAAAGCCGCAGCGCAGTCAAAACATAAAATAAATAAATAAATCTTTTTTTTTTTTAAAGGGAAAAAAGAGAATATACCCGGGGCAGGGGTGGGGGTGGGGGTGGTGGAGAAATGAAGTTAATTCTCTCACATACTTTTAAAGAGTCGTGTCTCTCTAAAATATTTTAAGATGCAACTGTCTGAATTTTAATATTGTATGTGCTTTACTTTTGCAAAGATTTTTTTTAATATGCCCAAAAGGCCGAAGGTCCATTCGTTTTCATGAATCCAAACAAGGTTCTCCGTTAATTTTTTTTAAGTGATAATAATTAAGGGATATCCACGTAAACGAGGAAACAAAAATACTTCTTTTTGTTGTTGCTTTAGAAAGGATATCGTCTAACTTTTTCACGTCTTCCTTCTGACCACAATCCAAGTATTTTCAAAAACAGAGTATTAAAGCATCGAGTAGGCGGTAGCCTAGAAGCCTGATTATCTAACAGCACTCTCTGCCAATAGGCTGCAGTTACCCCAGAGCCAAGCGTCAAAGAAACACCAGACTTTGTGGCTGGTCCTCTGAGCAGCTTCTGAGATGCCACGAACCCCTCGCCTTGTTCCTCCGTCGTCTGGCAACCCGAGCACGCCGCGGCTCGACCCCGCCCCCGCTGCCACGGCGACGCACGCCGCGACCGGGCCCCGCCCCCGATGCCATGGCAACGCAGGCTGCGGGTGGTGCTCGAGCCTCCCAGGCACAGTTCCGCGCTTGCGCTGCACCTGCTGTGGCCGCGGCAACTTCTCAAACCTCCGACTCGGCCAGTGCTGCGGCCGCGCTCTCACGCCGCTCCCTCGCCCACTTTCAGCCTCGCTTTAGAGAGTGGGCACGGACGCGGGATTTCAACCACCTGCTGCTTGGCGGTCCCCTTTCCAAGAGTGAGGGCAGAGGGACCGCCGGTGCAGAAACCCGCTTACCTTTCTCAGCATCCCTCCACGTCAGCGGGGTCTCCGGCGGGATCGCCCACCCCGCGCCGAGCTCGGGTGGGAAGGAGGTCACGGGGAAACAGAAGGGGAACTCGGCCCCGGCGGGCGCCGCCACGAGGACACCTGCGTCCCCGTCATTTGCACGACAAAGGGGAGACCTTCGGCTGCTTGGGCGGGAGACGGTGAACCGGTCCGGCTGCTACCTTCTCGGCCGAGTTCAGACGGGCTCCGAAGGGCTGTTCAGACTCCACGTTTCCGAAGCGACCAACATCCAGGGGCTCCTCTGCCGGGGCGAGCACGCCTCCGGGGCTCCGGGCTGCGCTATTGTTCGCCGGCCGTGCAGGGCGTGGTGGAGGCTGGGGGCGGCCGGAGCCGTTAAAGGCCGACAGAGGTTGAATTTCTTGCAAGGCTTTCCTCTAGTGCTTCCTCCCAGCCCCTCGCTGCTGCATATTCATAAGGAGGCGGGGCCGCTAGCATCTCTTTTGAATCCTCGGGGTTGATGAAGTCCAGGCGAAGTGGAGATGATTTCATTTGGAAACAAACACTAAGAGGAGGACAGGGTGGGGAAGGAGTAACGTAAGTAAGCAAACAGAGGGTTCCTGTTTCAGTCACCCCCCAGTCCCCCAGGCATCCAGGGCGCACACATGCACACACAGGACCTTCCTCAATTCCTGAACGGAGCAAAGGAAGCTTCAAGGAGAGTCTCACTAAGTCTCTTGGTCCTAACTGTAGTAGTAGACTAATTGGGGAGTTTGACTGGCGGCACGGATTTTTAACAGATGATTTGATCTATGTGCTCCTTCCTCATGCCAAAGAGAGCAGTTAAAAATTATATATGCAGATCTTACTCATTACATCCATTTTATTGAGTTTCATTATAATTGTCTGCTTTTAATGTAGTGCAGCCCTCCACCAGGCTTTAAAAAAAACCCAAAAAACAGATTTTTCTGGGCTTCCCTGATGGCTCAGAGGTAAAGAACCCATCTGCCAGTGCAGGAGACACAAGTTTGATTCCTGGTGTGGGTAGATCCCACATGCATCAGAGCAGCTAAGCCCATGCATCACAACTACTACCACAATTTCCCTAGACTTAACAAGTGGTCCTCCAAAAGGGCTTCTCTTTCCTCCCTGAAATGTCCACCAGGGGCATCATCACTGAATTATATCACAGACTTCAGATCGAGCTGCTCCTCAGCACAGGTGGTCCCTGAGGAGGTGACCTGAGGAATGCAGAAACTCTTCTGCTTAACACTTGACCCCCAAACGACCTGCTTTCACCACAGAATTCACTTCTCTGTGTTAAAGTCCTGTAGAGAAATCCCTGTTAAGATGTAAGTTTGTTCGTCAAAAGAGGTGACCCGAGCTCATTTCCCCTCACTCTTTACAGCTGGTTAGACTCATGGATGGGCTTCCCTGGTGACTAATCAGTAAAGAATCTGCCTGTAATGCAGGAGATGCAGGAGACACAGGTTTGATCCCTGGGTTGGGAAGATCCCCTGAAGGAGAGCATGGCAACCCACTCCAGTGTTCTTGCCTGAAGAATCCCATGGACAGGAGCCTGGCAGGCTACAGTCCATGGGGTCACAAAGAGTCAGGCACAACTGAAGCGACTGAGCACAGCACAGACCCCTTATTCTGCAGGTCCTCACTGCTGCCTATCTACTAGTGAACAGTGGGTGCTGGGGAAGCAGATGACAATGAAATAGCCCAGGGCACTGCCCTGGGAGCCAACCTTCTAGTACCAGGCAAACTACCACAAACAAAAAGTTACAGTTTTCATCACTGCAGAGAAAAATAAAGCCATGTAGAAAGGCAGGTGCTTGAAGCCCAGAGGGTACAGCGGTGCCATGACTTCCTGGATGGAACAAACTGAGATTGAGTCCAGGTGTTCTGACGGGGTTTTAGGCTCGTTCTGTGGTCACCAACTGTGTGACATTTTGAATTGCCCTTCTGAGTGTCTGTTTCCTCTTAGAGCAAACAAACGAAAGGCTAGGCTACCTTTTTAGTAGTTTTCAGTGGTCAGGGAAGGTTACTGTGCTGATGGCAGGCACACGGAGGGCCAGAGGGTCTGACGGTGTGGTCAGATGGTCAGTGCATGGATGCAGTGGTCAGATTACTAGGCGAGACCCTTCACCTCTGAGTCTAGTTGCCCCCGTTGTAAACTTGGGTAATAATATCCACTTCAGACATGCTGGGAATTTTAAATAAAGGGACAAAAAATAATAGGATTAGCTATTGTAATAATGTCTCACCCTCTGAAGGGCAGCCCACTGGCATTTCCTTGAAAGAGTGTTTGCTTGACTATGAGAACTAATGTTGCTTTCTAACCTTGACCCTTGTCTCTAGTCTGTCCTTGCAAAGGGAAGTAGAATGTGAGGGACAGGCTAAGGCCTACGGATGCCCCCTCTGGCACTCTTTGTGCATCATCTCTTGGCCGCAGTCACCTCTAACCATTGCACAGATTCAAAAGAGAATCTGAGCACGGTTTTCCTTAGTGCTGTAATCACTTCTAGAGAGTTAATAAAATCACTGTGAGACATAAAGACAAAAATACATCCCCATTCTATTCAAATCCAATGCCCTGCACATGCCCTGCATGTGTCGTAAGTAATTGCTAACTGTTCTGTTGACCAGCCTTTCTTCTTGTGTTGATTCCTGTTAGTGGCTCTGAAACATGTTTCTCCATCGTTTCTCAGGGCCCACTGTGAGGAAGGTTTCTGGTGCTGGCCGTCAGTTTGTCTGTGAAAGCATGCAGAAGGTGCTTCTGGGGTTAAGATCGCCCTTCCACAAAGGATGAGGAGGAGAGCAAAGATGCTGAAGAGGGAGGGTGGGGAGGCCTAGCCATGATGAGTTGGCTGCACTGTGACACATCTCTGAATCAGGAGCACTGGGACCTGGAAAAGACGGCCGGCCAGGCGCCCAGCCCAGCGATGCCATCTAGACCTCAAGGAAGTAGCTGAACCCCAATGAGGCTCCTCATTAGCATGTGCTAAACCCAGTAAAATGTTTGTGTACTTGTCTGTAGATCTTCAATCTTATCAGGAACACAGTACTTTGTAAGGTACTGTTGGCTATGAGGTTTGGCTCAGTGACCACTCTTGTTCATTCTTCGGTACTGTGATCATCTGTGGTCAACTAATTTGGATAGATATTTCTTCTGCATTTGAAATACACAGAAATGCACTGTATTCCCTCCCTGGATTCCCAAGTTTATCCAAAAGAAATGTTAGGCTAATTATATAGGAAGATCTTTATCTAAGCCACAGGCAGGCAGAAATACACAAGGTAGAATCTCTCCAGATTTCAGAATGTGATGTTATTCCCATGAATTGCTCTAATGCATTATTGGGACTTGAATCAAATGAGAGGAAATCAAAAGTGGGTAAGAAAGACTCATATCTACTGCCCTAAATTATTCTAAGCCTCAAACAAGCATGTTACCTTGGGGTCCTAAAAGTCACTTTTTATCATTTTCATTGCATACCCCAGAGAAACAGAGACATAAGCAAAACTGACAAGCTCTGACAGTGTCGTTAACCACCAATGCCAAACTTGATCACTGTAGCACGGGATTCCCCTTGTGGTCTTGCTACTCCGTACAAGCACCTGCTGCCCTCCATCTACCAGGTGGATGTGGAGGGGAGGGACGTGAGATTGAATTTGAGGTTTCTTGGCAAATTAACCCCAGAGTGAGCCCTTAGGAATTGTCAGTCAGATTTCCCCCAAAGCATTAATTGTGCGCATCATTCTGTTGCTTTTGAAGACATAATAAGTTGTTACTCTCCACTTTGACTTTTGTTAACTCTTTCATTCAGTAACAGTCAATCGAGTAACTATGTATAAGGCAAGATGCTAGGCACCTGGGGAGTTTTTTTTAATAAAGCAATTATCCATAAGGACTTAAAAATGTAGTGAGAACATAACATCTATGTGTACATCAATTTTCTATAAATTAAATTGTTTCAATGTAGCTTTAAAAGATACACAGTGTGTTACAAAAACACCATAACTATGCATGGTGATGAATGTTAACTAGATTTCTTATAATTATTTTGCAGTATATACAATATCTGGGCTTTCCTGGTGGCTCAGTGATAAAGAGTCTGCCTGCCAGAGCAGGAGACACTGGTTTGGACCCTGAATGGGGATAATCCCCTGGAGTAGGAAATGGCAACCCACTCCAGTACTCTTGCCTTGCATATCTCGTGGACAGAAGAGCCTGGCAGGCTACAGTCCACAGGGTCACAAAGAGTCAGAGTCAGACATGACTGAGCAACATGATGGCATATACAATATATATATCAAATCATTATTTGTACACCTGAAACTAATATGTTACATGTCAACTGTATCTCAATTTAAAAAATAAAGGGCAATTTCCAACCAAAAGAGACACAAAGAAACATGGTTTTATAAAGCCAAGAATCCAATTGTAATATGAATAACAGCCTTTACTTGATTTTTAAGTTGGAATACTGGTATAAAACACATTTGTAAAGTTGAGAGGAGTCTGAGAAATGGAAGATTTCTTCCTGAAAGTTTTCCTGAATGACCTGGGTGGGGAAAGGCGATAGAGATGATGAGGGATTGGACAAGGACATGGAGAAAAGAGGTGGGGAGATGGCCAGTGTGGGAATGGGGACCCCAAGAATGGCGAGAGATAAGGACACCAGGTTCAAAGGAGCCTCTAACTCAAAGCAGAGAGGTTCTGATAAATATGATTCAATGCCCAGTGTCCCCTGAGACTGGCTGGAGGCTATGATCAGTGGTCATAGGTCAGGACTCCCATCCTGGCAGCAGAATAAGCACAGATGTTAGTTGTCCAAGAATTGTTGCCATGGGGCTCAGCCCGGGTACAGGAGGGTCAGACAAGTTCAAGGAATGTGGAGAGAGAGTAAGTCAGCTCAGGAGGAGACGGTTGGGAACAGTCTCCAATGGACACAAATCAAGTAAAGGCTGTTACCTGAGACATGAAGGAAATGAGATGAGCTGGGCTGCTCTGTGGGGGAGACTTCCAGAAAGAGAGCCAGCAAGTGTGCAAAGCCAGAGACACACAGTTTAATGGGCTAAAAGCATTGGGACTCACTTGTCTGCTCACGTCCTCTCCTTTCCACTAGAATGAAGCACCACAGTTTACCCAGTAAACTGAAAATTCCCCCACAAAGCCTTAAGAGATTTAGTGTGTCTCTGAGATTACAGTCCAGAGCAGACTGTTATCTTTCTTTAAAGTGTAATCACATAAGTAAGACACGTGGATTTTGAATGTACAGTTTGATAAGCTTTGATAAATGTGTACACTGTGTAATTACCACCTTAATGAAGACAGAGCAGAAATTTTCCGCAAGTCCATTTCTTCTCTCCCGCTTCTCCCCTCAGAAGCAACCACTATTCTGGTTGCTGTCCTCACAGATGAGAGGGGACTATCGCTGGGCTTTATCAGAACAGAATCCTACAATACGTACTCCCTTGTACCTGGCTTCTTTCACTGAGTGCACTGTTT